TTGCCTTATGTGTCCTAAGAAGTGACATTGAACTGTGTGATTGAAGCAGATGTCTATGAATAAATGAACCAAATGTTTACAGTAGTTGAAAGTGTAGGGAAAAATTAACCAAAACTTGGAAGGGCAAAACAGCAGAATGCCAAGTTCTAGTAAGAGTCTTACAAAGAAGTGAGGGTTGTGCAGAAGAATCTCACTGTATCTTATGACCTTTCCTCTACTAATAGGAAGCAGTGAAGATGGAGAAAAAGATTAAATCAATTTAAATGTGCTCGGACTCCATACATAAAACACATAGACTTTGTGTTTGAAACTTCTTTGTCTAAACTCTGGATCCTCCTGGAGTAACACAGGTAATCAAGAAGTACTGAGAAATGGAAGTAAACACTGAAAGCAATGTTAAATCAGGACATTAATTTGAATGTGTATTTAACTTTGTAATGTATTTTTAAATCAGTGCAATTTTGCTTTTCATTGAAAGACGATTCTGCCGCTGTTTTCAAGTACTTGAAGTATTTTTCAGATAACTTAAACAAGTAAAGCAATTACACTACAGTCTGGTTTATGTATGAGATTGTATAATATTCTTTTTATATTTTTCCATGTAGTTCATTATCTATTTGAACATACACCTGTTGTAGAATTGTGTATACCTGTCCTGTGCAACAGGTGGCTGTGTTGATGGAACTGTTTGAATGGTAGTTGATCAGTAGTGAGCCATATTTATTCAAAAAGATATCACTACATATTACTTTGCTTATTACAATTGCACTATGGATTATTCTTCCTTTATTTCCTGATGATGTACAGAATCAAAATCTTAAATCTTTCAAGGAAAAGAAGACAAGTTGAATTGGCCCAGTTATCCAGTTTAATTTGTCCTTTTTGTAGCCTTTTGCTATGCACGGTACTCGTAAAACGTACATAACTTCTGAGTATTATGTTAGACTTGCTGAAATCTTATATTCAGTACCATTTCTAAAATGATAATGGTTATAGAATGGTTGTTAGTGTTCATGTTTTATAGGAAACTGGAAAAGAATATATGATATACTCTGGAATTTTTAGATGAAAGAGATAATGTCTCTTAATTCCTACATATGATCCTACTGACTGCTTAAACTGTAATAGCATCTGACTATATCAAAGTTAAGGGCCTTCCAGTTTTTACTACAATTTCTGCCTTCGAGAAGAAAGAGGAAAAATTGGTTGTACAAAACTCTGGTATTTATGAATCTTGTAAAAAGACTAATTTCAATAGACTGGATTTGGGTACACTTGGCCCTTCAGTTGTACATTCTGTGAATTTTTGAAGCTCACTCTTCTGCTGACTGCAGATCTCAGATCTGTTCAGAGGCCTGTGGTAAATCTACCTCTCGGTGATGTTATGACAATTAAGATTTTGATTAATGGTTCCTGCCCAGTTTTGCACCCATTATAGGGCCAGATCCATTTTAAGATGTCTGCAGAGCTCCATGGTACATCTTGAAATGCATTCTGAACAAAGACTGCAGTACAATGGGTTTGCTCTGAAGCCTGTAGGGAAGGGAAGACAGTGTGGGGGGTTAACCTTCCTGCTCCACCGTGCATTTAGCTGATTTAATCCTCTAAACTGCTTGGAAAAAGATATCCTTAATTATTACTCCAAAGTGAGTTCAGTTGAGAAACAAATCCCTGACTTCTTGGAATGCCTTATGCAGTTCAGATCTGTAGGAAACACTGATAGGAGCATTTACCTGGCTTTGTATTTGTTTACCTGCACTAAAATACAAATGCACTGAAATATTAAGTACTTTGTATTTTAGTGGTTGTTTTGGCAGGGCTGGAGATAATGGTGGTCCAAGTGCTCTGTGTCCAGATCCAGTCACCAGAGAGTATTCATCATATGGACATGGGAGGACTAGATATTTTCAGATGTGTGATTTCTTTTTTTGTATACCTCTGTGTTAATTTTGATTTTTAAGTATGTTTTAAAATTGACAGGCATATGTTAACTGTTTTTTTCTCCAACATTATTTAGCCCTTAAACCAGAATGGCTTCCATACTGATTAAAAGGGAATGATTTAATTAATCATGTTCTTTGAAGTTGCCAATGAATTGAGATATCTTTTTCTGATGAGGCACTCAGGTTCAGAGTTAGAACTGTTCTTCAGTATGAAGTGAGGAACTGGATTTTCTTATGGACCTTTCCCAAAACATAATTTAGAAGGCAAAGTCAAGTAGTTCTTAACACAGGCTTACAGTATATACTGTAGAGGGTTTAAGGAAGCTGTGTGCTACTGAAAATAATTTAAAATGTTGGTAATAGACCTTGTGCAAAAACTATTGCTTAGAAACTCCATAATTCCAACATTAAACTCCTTGATACAGCTAGATTTAGGGTACCTCATCTGTCTTTAAATTTTCACCATAGTAAGAGTGAAACTCCATAATGGTCTGCAGGGAACATGTGGGCTTGTCTGCCTTGTGTGGTGAAAAACTTGTCAGACCTGGAGTTCAGCCTTAATTTTGAATCATTTTTTAAAAAAATAATTCTGGGTTAAATAAAAGGTTATGCTCCGGAATGTTGTAATTTGGTTGTGCATTTTGTTTCTTGTAATTCTGGAAAATCAGGTGTTTATCTTGCACATCAGGAATTTCCTTTGCTTGGCGGAAATCTTAAGATTTTTATTCTTTACCCGGGTTTAAAGAAAAGCTTACACAGGAAGTGAAAGTTTACTCCTTTGTCCAAATGGACTTATTGCTAATGAATTGCCAAAGGAGCATTTTTTCCAAAACAAGATGTGTATAATATTAAGCAAGGTAATGTCCTTTTTAGCTGTACAATGAAGAGAAATAAATATTTAAAGTTAACTCGGATCATTTAAACATAAATTTTACTTTCAGTAATCCAGTAGGCTGGATTGCAATAATATAAATTATCTTTTGGGGTAAAAAGTAATACTTAAAGATCTGATCAACTACTAGCAATACTTAAATATCTGCCTGGCAGTTAAGTGGCACAATGAAGATGAATCAGTAATTCCAACATGTTACATTATAATGAGGGGATTTATTCCAAATCATTCATTACACTCTGTGTAGTTTCTTGCACTAGCTACTTAAGCCTGGTCTCCATTTTAGAAGTACATGTATCTATTTTCAATGGTTTATTATGAGGACTGGTTACAGCTTAATTCCTTCTCTAGTAGAATCCCTGGATTGTTTGAATAATGAAGGCATTGTTTCAATTTGGCTACTAAAGGTGTTTAAAAATCTGATTTTTCCCACCTAAAGAAGTTTGAACATTAGGTTCTGTGGTGAGAAGCCAAGAGAGCAACAGGTGTGTCCAGTTTCAGTGGGAACACCTGAACTGTCCCACGTGCCCCAGCTGCAGATACCCTGTGTATAACTGCATTGATGGAAATTGCCATTTTCATGGAAATGAACAGATTTAACTGTTTTTTCATATCCTTGTCAATGCACTAATGAAAGCCATTTAAGCCTCATTCTTTTTATCAGTATTTTTAGCAGATGTTTATGTAATACTCAATCTCTCATGAGGAGGCTGGTTGGTAGAAAGACCTCTTTTTTTTTTTTTTTTTTTTTTTTTTACAATTAAGCACTATCCTAAAATGTCAGCATTGTCAGGTGTCAGTGACTTGGCTATTTATGTTGGAGTTGGTGAAAGGTGGAATTCAAGTACATTAGCCTTATAAGAAATAGCCTTAAATAAGAATGGAGTTTCTTCAAAAAATTACTTCAGCTTTAAGTCATACATGTTAATGGTTTTGGTACAAAATGGGAAGAAATCTAGAGGAGACTCAAACATCATATAAACTTATTGAAAATAAGTATTTGTAATACCAGCAGCCTGTTTTTCAGAAACTTGAATATGACTTACAGTTAGTTTTGTTTATGAAATTGTTTGAACTTGCACAGACGTAGGTGTAACTTAAATGATAAATGGTACTGATGTGTGTGTATATATAATGTTCAATTCTATTTGTAAATGAGAAACTATGTAACAAAATCATAGGTATGAGGTTTTCCTATTGTAATTTAATACAGGTATGAGGTTTATGGCAATATATCATAGTAAATGAAATTTCAGGTCAAAATGTCTTTAAATTGTGTACATTTTTAAATTGTAATTTCTACTGTATATTGATTATCATGCATAGTGTGATTCAAGAAACTGCTTGTAATTTAAAAATATTTAATATTAAAAATAAAATACAGTTATATATTTATAATCTCTTTGTCTGTTTGTTCATTTTTAAACAGATGCCAGCAGTGTAGTTCTACTGTAAGATATATTTATTAGTCTCCTGAGGTTGAGAAAGTTCCAAAAGTTGAAAGCCACAGTCCCAGCAGATGAGTCCGCGCTAAATAGCATAGTCACCTTTAAATTCTTCCAGTATCATCACCCTTGTGAAAACTTCAGGTAAAGTGTGTACACAGTCGATAGAGAAGCAATAATTAAAACAGAAACAGTGTCATTCTGAATACTGAATTTTGCTTTCAATCACAGAATTCGAGATCTGTAGGAAGACTATTTTAAATTCAGAAAACAGGTTAATGATGTTTTCTCAGTGTTCACTGAATTTCTTCCTGGAAGAGTTGCTTGGTTTTTCCATCTAAGTGCATGTGCTGAATGGACCAAAAATCGCCCGGTAAATCAGTGAAGTGCTGTGTGCACTGGGAGCTCCCTTGATGCGATGCTGGCTGTTCCAGGCTGGCAGGAGGAGGGGGCTGCTGTTCCCTGCTCTCGGGGAGGGTGGGGGTGCCCAGGGCAGCCCTGGCAGTGCTGTTGGAGGCTCCTGTGCAAGCCCCCACCTCTCGTGGCAGCTGTTGAGTGCTGGCACCTGGTGTGACCTGGGAATGAGAAACTGATATCAAGATGACTTGACTTCATTAGGTAAAATATAACTACTGGGCTGAAATTTGACCAAGGCAGTGGTCATTAATGAGAACAGATGCAAAAGATCCCATGGCACTAAATTGGTCACCTTATATAGAACTTATTATCAAAGAATTTGAGAACTTGCAATCTTTATGAGCAGCAAGTTCTCGAAGAGATGGCAGTGCTGTGCCTGTGCGCCTGTGTCACACGGGTGCTGTGACAACTCGCAGAACAGAGCTGAGACCTTGTGCTCCTGCAGCCGGGGACGCTGCACCTGAGGGGCCGGCGGGGACAGAGCTGTGCTCGCCCCGGTGTCGGTGCCACCCCCGCCAGCGCTGCGAGCGCCCCGGGCACGGGCGGGAGCCGTGCCCGGCCCCTCGGCGCTGTGCCGGTGCTCCCGCCCGCCGGGCCCGCCCCCGCCGCTAAAGCGACGTGTCCGGGGCAGCGCCGGCCGCCTCCGCCTGCCCGGGGCTCCTCGGGCCGGGGCAGGCTGGGCCCCTCGCCCGCTCCTGCTGACAGCCTGCCTCGCTCCGAGGACACGCAGCGCTCCCTCCCTGTAGCCCCCGCAGCCCTTCCTGGCTTCCCCTGGGTCTCGGCCGCCTTGCCCCTTGGGCCCCAGGCGCCTTCTCAGCAGCGGGTGGAGTGGTAAGTCACAGAAGAGGGATGCCAGCCCTGGTAGATGGCTGCCCAGGGTGTTAAATGTGTTGGTATTTGGCTGCTCTCTTTGGTTTCTCTTGACCACTCCAGTCTGTTGCTCCTTGCACACTGATAACACCTTCCTGGCTCTCCCAGGAGCTGAGCTGGGGCTCTCTAAGGTTACTTCTGCAGATTACAGCAGTGGCAGTCTAAGAACAAACCTGCCAGCTAGGCACCTTGTTATCCCATTATACCTCATTTGCTTTTGCCCAGCCTACAGTTTTAAAGACTACTTTGCTCTCACAGTTTGCTGAAGCTTCCTTTCTCTTGGATCTTCTTCCAACTTTCTCTCCTGGCTGTCTCCATGAGCCCCCCTCTTCACCAAGTCCTGGGGGCTGTTTTGTTGCAAACAGCAGCGCTCCCCAGGAGTGCTGCGTGTGCTTGGGCAGGGAAGCTCCCACTCTGTGCTCTGCTGTAGCTGTGCCTTTTCTGCCAAGTGAGTTACACAAAGGGTCCAGAACAAACCTGATGCTTGCCTTTGGACCTGTTTTCTCTCTGAAGATGTCTCCATCACACACTCTGAAGTGTGTCTCCAGCATTTTTTTAGGCTCCCACAACACAAGCTGCTTGGTGCTGTCTTTCAGCTGTCATCCCTGGGTGCTACCTAACCCAGCTACTTTGTGAATTCCTGTCCTGTTTGGTCAAGTTGCCTCTTTGGTAGTAAGGAACCTGGGGATGGCCAGGATGTCCTCACAGGCAGAGAAATGAGTCACTGTGCAAGCCCAGCAGCTGAACATGGCTTTAAAGAAATGAGAAACGAGACAGGAGGTGTTTACCACAGCACAGCTGGGACCTGCTGGACACAGCCACCACCTGCTCCAGCTAAGGCTGAGGTTGTCCTGGGACAGTCTCACATCTGGGGCTAGGTTTTTTGTTCTTCTTTTTCCTTCAGTTTTTATTGGCTCACCAGCTCTCAAACTGCTCCTACACAATAGTATCGGCATAAAAATGTATCTTGTTTACACCAAACCTTTGTATGACTACAGGAACTGGAAGACTGTGGAAAGAACATATTATGGGAATGTCTCTTAGTAACACTGATCATTGGTGATAGAGGCAGGGTTGCTGTGGTGCTGTTGTCTTCAGATGTAGTGTGGGCACAGAATATGGGCTGAGGGAGGCAAAATATCAGTGCTGTCACCTAATGCAGAGGAAGGAACGTTGCTGTGTCTTTTTGAGTAACTTGGAAAATAGCCTGCTCTGCTGCTGTTGATCTGGGGCAGTACCTGCAGTTAAGCCCTGCCATTATTGGATTGTTGTTGGAAGAGGGAAGTGCTTTTTTTTTGTGGGTGTGTGTGGACGGGACTAGCCCACAACACAGAAATGCTGCAGCTGAAAACACGTGGCTGGCTCGGAGCTTCTCCCTGAGAGTGTGCCATGTTTCCCTCTAGTGGACTCCTCTCACAGTGGAAACCTGTGCCTACAAAAACCAATTTATAGGAGTTCAAGGAGAAATTACTTTGAGTAAGATACTGAGGGTCTGTGTAATACCCCCCTAAGCCAGCACATGTACATGGAAGTGGTGCTTGGCTTTATTATAATGTGGGGAAGTGAGGAGCTGGGATACAGCAGCATAAGAGATGAAACAGAGGCAATGTGTTACCAAACCTCACTGACTGTTGTATTCTGCATATTTCTTGAGCTGTGGTTCACTTTTCTACAGAAAGACTGAATTGACTTGGAGACCACTTTCTCTTAAGTACAATGATAAAAGAAAAACATCTCTGCTTTGAGGCCTGTTTCTAAGAAAGTAGAGGCATCTGTTTTTCACCAGCAGGTGATTCACTGCATCTTCATTTCACTGGTTCCATTCACTTGCCCTCTGTCCCCTCTGCAAGCTCTCCTCCCAGCTGAATATTGGTGTTATGTTTTTACAGCACATTGACAATTAATACCAGTCCTTCCAACAAAACATGAAGACTAAAACCAAAGGAAAGAAACCAAGGCAAACTGTTGACAAAGAAGCGTTCTCTGAAGAGCCAGCAATGAGAAAAAAGGAACTGGTGAAATGTTTGAGACGCAGAGAAAGGAGGAATGGGGGAAACAAGGAGAGCAGCAAGATGCCCACGGGCAGAGCCAAGCGTGCCTGGAGCAGTAAGGACAGGCTGCTGAGGAGGCTGGAGAGCAACGAGCGCGAGAGGCAGAGAATGCACAAGCTCAACAACGCCTTCCAGGCCTTGCGGGAGGTGATCCCTCACGTGAGAGCCGAGAACAAGCTGTCCAAAATAGAGACTCTCACCCTGGCCAAAAACTACATCAAGTCCTTGACCTCCATTATACTCAATATGTCCAACGGACACTTTCCAGCAGTAGAAGGGATGGGGGGAGCCTGGGGATCCAAATTGTACCAGCATTATCAACAGCAGCATGGGGAGGATGACCATGAGGAAAATCTACAGAAATATTCCACATAAATTCATAACTTCAGCCAAAACACCAGCTGCCAGCTACTACTGTCATTGTTTTTCCTTCTTACATCATAATACATGTCATTACCTAAAGGTTTAAAGAGGTTATTTTTGCTGCCAGTCTGTTCTTTTTTTTTTTTTCTTAAAAAGGCAAACAGGTAACACTTGTGACTATAGTTTATATGGCACATTAAAAAATTACCTTAAACCCTCAGAATTTTTCAGAGCATAATGAATGTGTTCGTGCAGTGTGCTAGGATCTGGAAACCTATCCTGCAACATTGGAGTTGACTTGAAACTAGTGATTTACTAACTTCTGAACATTATCCCAGCTGGAGTAGAGTGAGTTGAGCCTTTAAGGTCAGTGTCATCTGAGTTCCTTGGAGTTTATTGAGAATCTTGGCTGTAGTTCTGTTCAGCAGCCTTTCAATGACTCATCTGCTGTGCTAAAGAGAAGATTAAAATCGATGCCAGCATTTGATTGACTTGGTGACTGAAGTGGCACATATGGGAAATTGGTCACCAAATCTGATTTTTCTTGATATTTAACTTTGGTGGATCTGCCCTGGTTATCTTGAACATTGCAAGGCATAAAACCATCTCTGGATGCAAACACCTGCAAAGCTTTCTTAGATTGTAAGCTCTCTAGAGTAAGGACAGCTCTGATCTGTGTTTCCAGAGCATCTGGCCTCATGGAGATTTTCTTTAGTGGGTGTCTGGGTGCCATTGTAATACAAATAATAGATAAGGGACAAATTACTTACTTTTGCCAAGACAATGATAAAAATGCTTTAGTGTTTAGTCTTGAGTTAGACAATGCTCTGTTGCTAATGAAGCCTGTGATGTGATCAGGTTCTTTCTGGGTTAGCATTAGATTCTGATACTGTAAAACAATAAATGAAGCAGAAACTCTTCAAAAAGAAAAATAAGCTCTTTTTTCCCCCTCCCTCTATCCCCTTCTGTGGTAAAAAGTTTTATGTCACTGAGGAACTCTCATTTCATCTTGTGTTCTCATACCTGGGGCACCTGAAGCTGGCGTGGCCTCAGTTGGAAGTGTGGTGCCCACGGAGCCCCCGTGTCCCAGCTCCCCCTCCCCACGTGCCCCATGAACAGGAGGCTGCTGCTCTGAGCCCTGTGGCACAGGAAACATCTGGCACCTCATCCATCACTAGGATTGATAATGGTTTGTGTCCTGGTCCTTTTCCAGGAGAGGAGGGCTGTCCAGGGAGGAATGGGGGCTGAGGAAGGATTTATCAGATCCATCACAAAAGGACTGTGCAGTTGGGAATGTGTTTGTAGTTTGCTGCAGCACAGCTGAGGGGATGACAATGTAATTCAGAGTGAAAGATGAGGATTCCCACACAGGCTGGTAAGGGATGTGAATTCTCTTTCTCCACCACAGCAATCCATAGCTATGATGTAGAACAACACAACAGTTTATACATGTGCTTACCTTCCTGGAGAAAACATTTGGATCCTGACTCACCTGGAATTTTCTTAGTTTTGAATTTTTTTCACATTAAAATAAATGTGATTTAGCCCTTCTCATACTCAGGTGTTAATGAAAGAATTGCAGAGTCTCTTACAGATTTAACTTGTCATGACAGTGCTGGATCTTACTCCATTCACCAGCAGCCCTGTGTGGGTAAATTAACCCTCACTGTATTTGTGCACTGATCACAATGGGTCAGTCAGTAACACCAAGGCCTTTTCTTCCAGTTATTCTACTTGGCACCTCCTCAGGTAAGAGCTGTTGATGTTATTTGGTTATTTCTCACCTTCCAGGTCAGTGCAAACTGTGGCTCTGTGTGTCACACAGTAAGCTATGACCAAGCACTTGTAGATTATGGTAATTTTTTGTAGGATTCTTTAAAGGTCATTATCTGAGAGTTTCCAGCTAGTAAACATCCCTGGAATGCTTTTGTGGGATAGTTATGTTTGAATTGCTGTTTGGCTACATTGGTGGAAAGAGGGAATCAGCAAATTTAAAATCCAGTATTTTAACAGTGCTGTTGATGAAGAATTGCACTTTATGAACCAAGTATACGGGTATTGCTCTTAAACATACAGAGTTAATGCTTGGGCAGTGTATTTTTGACTTTCTGCAACCAGAAGCATTTCAAATATTAAGCCCAAAATGGCACATCATATCTAGCTATAAATACAGCAGCCAAGGAGGCAGGTGAAAGTCACCCCTTCTCTGAACACTCCATCCCCAAGGGACAGTCAGGCTCTGGACACAGGCATTTTTATGGAATTACAGCTGCTAGTTCCACATTGGAACTTTGCCACAAGGTGCTGTGTTCTTGGACATGCCAAAAGGGATTTTGTAAGAAGCATTTTTTTCTGATAAATTACTTTTATTTTTCAAAATTGCTTCAGTTTAAAGTCACTTTTCCATAATTTAACTAGCCACAACAATGACATTATATTTTTAAATTAAATAATTTTCTAAATAATATTTTAGAAGGCAAATACTTAGTACTCAAACATAAACAACTTATAACCTTTTTTTTCACTTAAACCCAGCTTTTTACAGTAAAGTAAGTGAAACTTGGCAATGTAGGGGAAAATGCAAAGGTACATTATAAAGCTTATTGTATGCAATCAGGTTGATTGTTGGAGATGTAAACACTGACTATTAAAAGGAAAAAACCTTGATACAATGCAGAGAAAAATACAATCCTAATAATTCTCTAAAAATACATGTAATAAAGTTATTTATTTGGACAAGCTACTGTGCAAGTTATGCAAAACCTATTACGGTAATTAATGCAACACATTATTTATGCTTCTCCCACAATGTATGTATAAACCAGAAATCTCTAATCACATACTGGAAAGATCAACAGGTTCTTTTTTAACAGTAAAGCATCTTCAATCTTCATTCACATTTGGACTTGGAAACAGTGCTTTCCTTGGCATTAAATACCAAATATATTCCTTAAATACGTGCAAACATAAGTTTTACTTCTACAAATACAGTACTGAGACCACACCAAACTGTTCATCATATAAAAATAGCTTCATGTACAGTCACACAGAGAGGAGAAATGAATGTAAACTGTCCAATTATTATAAATAAGTCAGGAAAAAAAGCTTTTTTTTGAGAATAGAAAGCGATTTCATGTTGGAAAAAGGGATGAATAAATCACTCAAAATGAAGAGCAGAGCTTCATTCTGAACTGCCATCAGTGTACATTGGCAAACTCCACTGTAAAGTTGTTTTGCATTCCTACCACTGTAAAGTCAGTTTAAGACCTTCCCTTGACTTGTACAGTATGATAGCATAATCTGCAATGATCTGGAACACAGCCTCCTTAGGTAGGCATCTGTGTACCTCAGTTGTCCCAGTTTCAGTTCAGCTGAAGACAGACCATGATTTCCCAGTGCTTGCAGTGACAGTTCAGAGCTGAGCCCGACTGACCAGGACTGGGCTCACCAGTGGCTCCCTGAAACCAGGGGTTCTGCTGCCTGATTAACACACTGTGAGCAAAGACAGCAAAAATTGGCCCTTCCTGGTAACTGCAGGCTAAGCAGAGTTGTGCAGAATTTGATTTTGCTGATGGGAGCAAGAACAGGCTGACCCAAGTCCATCCTTACACATGGAGCCCTCCCATGAGCAGAGCTCTGTGCATGTGTAAGAGCCTCCACAAACAGGACCAGCTGTGTTTGCCAATTCATCCAGACTGAAACAACTTCATCTGTGTTCAAAGATGAATCTCAAGGACAAGATGTGTGAATGTGAGAGAAAAGTAGGAAGCATAAAAAATAGAAGTAAATGCAGTGATCATCGGTGCAGATATTCACATTTGCATGGTGTGTAGCAGCTGTGGTAAAGGGTCAGAAACACATGGTTAAAAACCTTGCCTGCTTTGACAGAACTATGAACTCTATCAAGTCACATTTTACACAAGATGCATTAGAAGGATTCAGTACTTAAAATACCCCATTGCAAAGTGCAGTTCAGTCAAACATATTAGTAGCACAAAAATGTCATGTTTTTGTCTCCAAGCAGTAGACATTATTTCTTTTTCAGCTATTGCCTACTGCTTGTTAGCAACATGTAGATGGCAACAATTTAACAGTTAACAGAATTTCTGTCCAACTCTTGACTTTCACTGACCATCAGAGGGGTCTTAGAGTGTTCTGTTTTCCCTTCACTCTCCTCATCTTCTCCCTCCTTCGATGCTGCCGGGTTCTCCTCGGCGGTGTCAGGCACAGCAGCCCGAGATGCTTCTGTTGCATTTCCTCTGACTGTAATGTGCTCCCACCCACCCTGTGGAAAAGGGATACAGAAACTCAAAGGGAGGAACATCACCCTGTCAGTGCTGCACCTGATGTGATGCTCTATATGCACTGCTGGTTTGTTCTGTTTGTTCACAAGGAAAGTAATCCTGCTCTGGGATGAATCAGAAAAAAGGCTCCTTGTAAAGGAGGAAACAAAACACAGCAGACCTCCCTGACAGGGAGTTTTATACGTGGTAAACTTGAGGATTGTTTTTTATCATGGGGAATTGAGATTAGTGGGGTCAAGCATTCATAACAGAGCCATTGCAGATGTTCCACCAACTTAAAAGGTGGCAAAACATTGAAATAGCCTTTCTCAAAACATTGAGAATACTACAGGGTACGACAATGAGGAATAATCATGTACAGACCAGGAAGGAATCAATTTTTTTTAAATGGCTCTTACTCCACTAGTTTTTTCATTGTAACTTTTAAATTACGTACTTAAAATGAATACTTATCAAATGCAAATAAAGAACTTCCCAACTGTGGTTGCACACCCCATTTTAATAACCTCAAAAAGGAACCCAAACCTGAAGGAAAATGTCCATTTCCTGCAGGTATATCCAAGCTTTCCAATGCTGGCCAGCTGGGCAGGATGGCGTTTCCCTTTGTCCGTGAGACCATAGACAATGAGATGTACAACTTCAGGCAGCTCTGTGCCCCCAGCACTTACCCCAATACCATAATCCCAGGAGAGGCCTTTGGGTTCCAGGGGCTGGACACCAGTCCGGTGGCAGACGGTCCCACAGCTCAGGCTGTGGCTGCCCTGCACTTTGTCAGCTATCACCCACACCTCAAGGAAGCAGAGAGAGGCAGTAAAATGTGCTGCTCTTCCCAGATGTGAAATC